CACAGCACACAGTAAAACAGCACACAGTTAACCCTTTGATCGCCCCAGATGTTAACACCTTCCTGCCCAGTGTCAATAGTACAGTGTCAGTGCTTTTTATTAGTACTGATCACTGTACTGGTGTCACTGGGGATGTCAGTGACATCAAGTCAGTTCCCCCGACACAGTCCAGGTATGAGTCGCTGATAGCTGCCATTACTAGTAAAAGAAAAAAAATAAATTCCAGTATATATACCACCATTTGTAAATGCTATAACATGCACGTAAAACAATTAATTTACACATATTGGGATTTTTTTTTTAGCAAAGATATGTAGCAGAATACATTTTGGCCTAAATTTATGACAAAATTAGATTTACATTTTTTTACTGGACATGTTTAATAGTAAAATGTCAAAAATAGTTTGTTTTTTTTCAAAATTGTCTATTTTTTGTTTTTTTTAAGCACAAAAAATAAAAAGCAGAGGTGATCAAATACCACCAAAAGAAAGCTCTATTTGTGGGGAAAAAAGGACGTAAACTTCATTTGGGTGCAACGTTGCATGACAGCGCAATTTTCAGTTAAAGTAACGCTGCGCTGTACTGCAAAAAATGGCCTGGTCAGGAAGGGGGGTAAACCCTCTGGAGGGCAAGTGGATATAATGACTGTGTACATTTTTAGCATTGATCACTATATTAGTGTCACTGGTTCCCACAGTGTCAGACCATCCGCTGCAATATTGCAGACCCGCTGTAAGTCACTGATCTCCAACATTGCTAGTATTTAAAAAAAAATAAATTCCAGTATATATCCAGCCATTTGTGGATGCTATAACTTTTGCACAAAGAAATCAATATACTCTTATTGGGATTTTTTTTTAATCAAAAATATGTAGCAGAACACATTTTGGCCTAAATTTATGAAGAAATTAGATTTTTATATTTTTTTTACTGGATATGTTTTATAGCAGAATGTAAAAAATACTGTTTGTTTTTTAAATGTCAGTGTTTTTTTCATTTATAACGCAAATAAAAAACCCAGAGGTGATCAAGTACCAATCTATTTGTGGGGACAAAAATGACAAATTTCATTTATGTACAGTGTTGCATGACCGCGCAATTGTCGTTAAAAGTAACTTAGCGCCGTATCAAAAAAAAAAAAAAAAATGCCCTGGTAAGGAAGGGGGGGGGGGGGGTACATTTTCTGGAGTTCAAGTGGTTAAAAAAACACAAAAGATCTGCCAGTACCTCAACCCTCTAATGTAAAACAGCCTCAACACACAAAGATGGGCCTTCACCATGGCAGGAAATGTTCACAGCCCCTATGGAGCCAGGGATTATTTGTTCTCTGCATTCACCTCTACAGTCCAAAGCTGCTAAACATACAGCTGTGTTTAAATATAAGTAAACCCTAAAAATGAAAATGTATATTTGTTCCCTTTTGGATTGTTAAATAGATCACTGAAAGTTTTGATTAAATAGTTTAATGACTGCAAAACAAATACCCCTTGATCCTGCCAGACATTCAGTGCTGGCTTCTATACTCGGCAGTTTTATCTCAGGTAATGTTACCAGCTCTGTCCATTTAGCTCCGAGAACTACAGAACAGCATCATCTCCATGTTAAAGAGAGGATGAGGGGTTCTGCAGTCTTAACACACTTCTTTCTTGTCCTAGGGTAACAATATTGTTGCTCCATATATCCAGTACAGCGAGTGAGAACTGTCACCGTACAACAGGAAATGTGTTACTGGCAGGATCACCAGATAGAAATAAAGAGAGTAGGGCCTGAAAAAAAAAAAACCAGAACAAATCCAGCCACTCCCTCTAAGTACTGGTAAACTGCAATATGTTTCATTTTTGTTCTTGAGATTAGATACACTTTTAAGGCCCCTTTCACAAGAGCAGACTGATCAGGTCCGCCTGTCCGTTTTTCAAGCAGACCCAATCGGTCACTCCATTGCTCTCTATGTGTCCGATTACATCTGCCTGCAGAGATGGAGATCCATTTCCATCCCTCTGGCGGATCGGATGACATTTGGATTAAACGGACAGGTGGTCCATTTAGGACAGCAGGCTGTGTCCGTGTCCGCTGTACATAAGCGGAGCAGACTTGTCGTCCGCTTTCTCAGCGGGCAGGTCCCCTGCTGAGCAAGCAGATCTGCTGATGGGCCTGCCCTGTGTGAAAAGGGCCTAAAAGTATCTATTGTTTCAGTCAAATTAGGCTTTCAGATCTGTGGCGAGACAAAGCAGCAGTAGCACAGTCACTGTTACAGAGCCCCACTAGGAAGAGCCTGCATGTGGAATAAGCAAATAAACATGCTCGAGTAAATATATATTTACAAACTATACAAAAGAAAAAGTTTTAAAACTTGAAAATAGTTAAAATAAGGCACTCTGATTGAAATGTATTGTGTATCTAAAAAAGAATTAAAAAAAAAAAAAACAAAAAAAAAAAAAAAAACACACACTAAAAAGACTTTCCTTTGAACTACAATCCAGACAAAAGCAAGATGTAAAGTGTTTTAAACTGTTGTATTAGCTGATCTCTTATACAAAGAAACCAAAGCACCTTTGTATATAACTAGTTTAGTATAAAAACTACATAATCCAGACAGCCTTACAGTGGTATGAATAAAACAACATATGTTAGGACCTTCCTCATATATAGCAGAATTAAAGTGGATATAGAGTAGGCTGGAAACACTTGTATTCAGCAATCATCCAGATTTAGAATCTATTTCCTGAACCAAAATGGTGTCTTATCAGTGACAATTATTCTGAACCACAGTCCACATTCTTGGCTGTGGGAATACATTTTGTGTCCCACAGGACAGTCCCCTGGTGCAGCCGCTGAGAACTGTATTTTTTTATGCAATAAGCATTTTCACAGTTAAGTGATTCTATACACTACTATAGATTTTCAATAAACTATGAGCTTTTGTGTGGCACAGAACTGTCATGTTTGATGAATTCCTGGTATGAGACCAAGTATCTTACTTGTCTGTCCAAGGTTTCTTAGCAAAAGGGCCATCGTTCATGTTTCCAAGTGGTCTCTTCCTGTCTGGTTCTACCACCACTCTGTTCAGATTGCAATTTTCAGCAACAGGAGGAGGAGGTGGTGGTTCGGTCTGGATGACAATATTAGCAGCTGTAAAAAGGAAAAATTATGTAATAATATCACAAAGGATTTATACAGATACAAATTGGATAAACGAATTTCTACAATCATTACAGAATGTGAGATGTTTTTAAGAACCGTACATATATGTAACTAAGCAGCTAGTCAGGGAGAACATAATCAGGTTTCTAGAGGAGCACAATGTGCCACAAATCCATGTAGAGTTACAAGTGCATTAGAAACTAAAATATTAAAAAAGCATGCACTAATTAATTCAACTGAGAAAGTGAGAGATCTGGAAAAGGGAGTGGTAGTATATCTTAGAGCAAAACTATGCTTTGCCCATTCTAAACAAAAGCAACATGCTTTGCTATAAACCCCCCTTAAAGTTTCAATGAAGCACTTGTTTGGAGTAATGTTTAACTTGCAGTCGTAAAAAAACTATCGCATTTTAATATACTTTTTTAAAATAAGCATGCTATGTCTAATATTGTATTAAATATACAGATTTGTACAATCAGCCTCTTAGGCCTCAAGCACACAGACGATTGGAGGCATAGGCAGGGTCTGGCATATAAATCCTAAAATTTTCCCGCAGCCAGGGAACAGGTAACAAGTACAACTGGTGAATGGTTGTACACACTTGTACTTGCTTAAACACCAATGCTTTTTTCATCTGCATTTACCTGGGCATTTGTGTATGAAATATTCTCAAAACATGGAAGTCTCATGTTTGGGGAATTCATCACATGCAACTGCATGGGTAAATACGGATGCAATAAAAGCATCAGTATTTTTTAAAATTAACAAAAAGCATCAGTATTTACATAAGTACAATCATGTACAGTAATTCATCTCACTGGGTGGTTGTATGTGCACCTTAAGACTTACACTAGATCCTACCTACATCTTCAAAATGTATGTGTGCCATGAGGCTTTACAATCTCCATGTACATTTTTTCACTAGAATCTCACAATCTTGTTACATATGTGGCATGCTTTGAGAAAGCGATGCAGACAAGCTGAAATCACTGAGCATCACTGCAAACAGGACGTAAAGCCTACACGTGTATTCAGCAAATATGGCTGACCAACTACAGTTTTATTATTTAGAGCCCTAAAGTCTATACGAGAGTAGTGGGTTATCTGACAGTAGGAAGATCGGATAGATGCTGTGGGATTCTGATCCAAGCTGTGGCTATATCCCTGCAGTGCTCTGTTGCTGCATGGACCATTGAAATCAGTGGCCAAGTGATCAACCACTTTAGTCAGACACACAGCTGTAAAATTTGTGTCTGTATGTGTTCCAGAACTAAAGAGAAATTATGCACAGCTCTCAAACATGTGCACATTATTTTATGTTATGACTCTTAAAATACTGCAAGCACGGAAAATTACCTGAGGATCTTGCCAAAAATGCAGTGGGCCTCTAAATTCCAGTAATGGGCTGACACTGCTACACTGAAATACCAAGAAGTGTTGTCAATCCTGCATGAGATTCTCCTGCTGGACTACATTACCACATACTCGCCTTCCCCTACATGACCCCTTCTTCTATACATTATCAGAATTTAGCCCCATCTCATATCAACTGCTGATGACGTCAACTACAGGAAGTCAGTAGTCAATTGCGTTCATAAAATAGATGAGGTATTTTTCAGTACTTTTCAGAATTTTTAAAGCGACATAACGTGGAATTGTGCATATACTGAGGAAAAGTGCTGAATAATTTTTCTAGATTGCGCCCACACATATACTTTAGGCTGTATAATATAAGCAAACACTGTATAAGATAAACAAAAAGATCAATTGCACCTTTATCATAAAATTGTATACAGTGTAGTTTATAGCAATAGCTAGTTGCCAAAAAGTCACTAACCTCTTGGTGGTGTATCCATGTCGCCCGATGTCAAACCTATCAGATTTGACCTTTGTTGCTGTGGCCGTGTATAAAATGGCCGGTACCCAGTTCTACCTGTGCCTGTAAGACTTGGAGCTTCAGGGTTGTACCCATCAGGTTCATACGTATCTAAGGGGGAAAAATAAAAAGCATGCAATTAGAAACCCAATAAATATACAAATAAAAATGATGGTAAACAGAGTTTTTTTTTATTTTATTACCTATGTCTTGCACTTTATAATTGAGAAGGAGACTCAAAAAAAATTTATTTTTCATATGAAAAGTTAACCCTGTTGCAATTGTAATTTAGCCTGAGCAGGTTATGATTACACTATTTTCTTTACCAGGTGGCCACCGTGCCTATAGAAAAATTAAGAACTAAAAGAATACAAATAAAAAGGTGTAGATATACAAAAAAATATGAAAACCCAAGCAATATATAATAATATAAAATAGTTAAAATAATAGATACAGATTTAATAAAATAATAGATATAGGTGTAGATATACCAAAAAAATGCAAAAAAAATATTATGAATGACCAAGCAATATACTGACTAGCAAATATAGGTATTGCCATTTCACTATCAAGTGGGAATTAAAAAAAAACAAAAAAACGTTAATTTTCATATTCTTGCTACCCATCTAAGAAACAGCTCTTTACAGCAGCAATGACACAATAGGAAAGAGCACAGAGCTTGGTACAATTTGCCAGTGCTCTAATTACCACCAACCCTGCTGAACAGATGTGGAGTGGTGCATTTTTTTTGCATGCTTGTTTAGTTATGTGCTTTGACTTGGCATTATAATCCATGGGGCTTTGAGAGGTACTATATCCAGACCCAGATGAAACAGGTAGAGGTCTTCTGACACACGAAAAAAAAAAATGGGTTTTAGAAAAAAAAAAAAAAAAAAAAAAGAAAAATGCAAAGTAGATGCACATGCTTGTAAAAGGAGGATTAAATGATTAACAAGTAAGAGAAAATCCTGTAAAATCATTTCATTGGAGTACATCACAGGACAGAGGGCTTCATATTCATTGACTACTTGAAATATGCTGCCACCTGCAGGTGCATTGACACTGGCCCAAAAAAAAAAAAAAAAAAGGAATCCCTACCTAGGTATAACACCTCCCATCTCAACCACAATTCAATTTTGTAGCCAGAAATAAGGAAGTGGCAATAGGAGAAGGATACTCCAAGAAAATGATTTTACAGGTAAACTCAAAATCCTAATTTCTTAGGATGACACCCTGCAAAAAGGCTTTTTATCAAGGAATGAGATGCAATAGGTCTTGAAAAATGCACAAGGCTGATGGTATTTAAAAACAGATACATCTCCACATGAGGGTGGAAAAAAAAGCCAAAATGAGCTCCGCAACGTACTACAAGGGACAAATCCTTACGAGCATCACACTAGGCGGAAAGAGCTTTCCATGTAAGGTGCTACGCAGTCCTGGAGGTCAACTTTCTTACCCTTGAGGAGGGTATGGATTACAAAGTCAGAAATACCCTTCTCCCTCAGGACTTGCTTCAACAGACATTCCATCAAAGCCAAAAACCATAAAGCAGAAAAGAAGATTGGACCCTGCAAAAGCAAATCTGGGGGATCTGGAAGAGCCCATCTGCCAAGATTCACGACCTCCACATACCACTATCCAAGATCAGGTCTGCTTATTCCTAAGCATCACCACTTTTTGTCCTTCCCTGTTAGTATGTATGCCACAGCCATGGTATTGTTTGAATATACTCGAAGTGGACACATCAAAGTTAGAGAGAGACCACAGTAAAAAAAAAGTCAGTCAAATCGCTCAAAGTTTCCAGATGCCAATTGTCAACTCTGGCTCCTCTGTTGGCTCTGTTCCCAGAACCGAGAGGTTGTGCAGACTTCTCCCCAGCCCGGCAGGCTGGCATCTGTCATCAAGAATGTACAAATTATTCAGAAGGAAGGACTTCCCAGTAACCATGATCTTCATGGACATCCACCATTCTAAATCTGACCTGGTCTTGGGAGTCAGAGGAACTGGAAGTTCCAAGGACTTCTGACATTTGTCCCAGCTCTAGTGCAGATCTGACCATAGGAGAACTCAGCAAAAGCAGGTACCTTCTTTCCTAGTACCTTCATGCAGGCCCAAAAAGTGGGACATTATAACAACTTTAGGAAACCTACCTTGGGCAGGCATTTCTCCTTTGGAAGTAACAACTTTGCCTATGTCATACCAAGGACTAAGCCTAAGTACTCCATATGTTGTCACAGAACCAAGGCTGACTTCTAAAGGTTCAACACCCAGCTGAACATTTTTAGGACCATCTGCTGGACATCTGATGTCAGCTTCTGAGTTGATTTCTCACTGAAAATCAAGGTGTCCAGGTACCCCAGAATGGATTTACCCCAGGTCCTCAACAACCCCAGAACAAGAGCCAACACCTTGGCAAACACTCTAGGAACATGGACAAGCTGAAGGGAAACCAACAAACTGTGGTGAGCCTTTAGAGATAATCATGTAAAGGAAATTTGTAAATTCTTTATAAAATTGTATTCTATTTTGTATGCTTTGCCTATGTATTGTACACTGCACTCGTGCACACGGCACAAATAAGGTTTTCATTACATGTTTGCATTCCTTCAAGTCCTGATTAGAAATTAGCCTGCCTATGCAATGCCCCTTGTTACCATAAAAGTACAATTGCAATATTATTGTGATACCTACATAATCATGTGTCTAAAAAATTTAAACAGAATAAACAGAACAGTTATTTGGAAAGATGCTGAGTGTATCATTTTGTGTCTTTTCCCTACTGCTGTAGTTATCAATTTGGAACCACTAATCAATATGAGGATAGGAGTTGCCCATTTATAAAACGTCAGTATTTATGTCCAGAACAGATGGCGAGCCAGCCAGGAGGGGATTTACAGGTGACTGAGAATTCGAAATGAGGGGCCTTTCACGATCTGTGAATTTCTGATTATCAGCTGGCTAGCTGAGGTGAGCCCTTTGCTTATATTTGAGATATACGACTTACTTGATCGGTAAGGAATTTACGGGACAAAGGATACCTATTTTACTCCCCTTAATCGAACTGTATTGATTGGTGGTTATATGTTATGTTGTCACTGTCCATCAGAGTAAGAAAAGGAAAAATAATGCTGGTTAAACGGTTGTGTGAAGCACACATCTGCTGTAATAGATCTAGAGGCAAGAAGGTACAGACACATGTAGAGAAGAGAGGAGACTAGACAGTCATTATGAGCATTAAATAGCCACGGTCTACTGTTTATCGCAGTAAGAAAAGGAAGAATAATGCTTGTTAACAGGTTATATGAAGCACACATCTGCTGTACGAGATCCAGAGGCAAGAGGGTATAGGCACATGTAGAGAAGAGAGAAGACTGGCCAGTCATTATGTGCACTAAATTACGTAAGGGAATGAAAGGTAAGAGGGCACCCTCAAAAAATGCCCAGCGCAAGAGAAGCGTTAGAGCATATATGAATTGAAGGCAAGTTTCCACCTATAATGAGCCCCTATGGTTTAAGTGGACAGAGATCCACAATGGGTAACAGGATTGCCGAGTCCACGGGGACTAGGAATTATGCAGATTAAACAGCTAAAGGAACAGCTATTTGAGCAGGATGAATGAAGAGTGACAGACAATGTATCATTAGACATAAGGGGAAATTTTGATGTTAAAGTGTTACTAAACCCACCACAGTAAAATCAGTCTGTATATGCAGTAAAGAATGCTTGTTATACTCACTGTGGAACCTAAGGGGTTAAACCTCTGCATTGTGTTAAAACGCTATTTGATCCTGACTTTTCTGTTTCTGCCCTTCTTTCACTGTCCCCCCTATCTCCAGATAAGACATATCATGAGAAGTCACTCTGCACATGCTCAGTTTGGTGTGTATTGCTACAGAGGGTTTTTTTTTTTTGGGAGAGTGCATATGATCAGAACAGGGCCAATCAGCACTGTCCAGACAGAGGTCAGGGGGTCTGCATCCTCCTAGAGCAGAAAGAAAACTCCTCCTACAAGCTTTAACAAGTGCTCTGCTGGACACTGATGAAGTCACAAGACTGCCCTAACTGCTGATGAGAAAAGGTATTTAGCAGTCTATATTTACTAAAATAAATGCACATCCATATAAATGGTGAATGCTTGTGAGCTATTATGAAATGAGGTGTTCAATATGTGACTTTAGATGTCCTTATTTCTCACGTGAGGTTCGCTGGCACTTGCACTGACTCATATGCTAGTGTATATATAATATTTTCAAAATAGATAGTGCCGCGCTCCCATGTACCAATATGTATATCTTATACTTTCAAAGTGCTAATGAATAGCTTTCAAGATACTGCATGTATCAAACAATTATTACTAGTGACTCAAAACATCATTGTGAATATTAATCTTCATGCAAGTGACATTAATAACTGATAATCCTAAGGTGATAGTGCCTATTAAAGTACAGTGATATACAAATCAGAAATACTCCTCTATTCTACTGTGATCCTTATATTTATATTGTGCAAACACATATATATTATGTGCACGTGCTTATGATATATTCAATAAAAAAAAAAAAAAAAAAAAAAAAAAAAAAAAAAAAAAAAGTCTTTCAAAATAAATGTGCAGGTGGATTCTTGGTTCCCTCTCGCCGAGTGCTTAATGGTCTCCCTATGTGCTCACCTCTATATTTGCCTGAATAAATCCAGGCAAATACACTTTTTATCCTTCCAGGATAGATGGGATGGAATGATGCTCTTGAATTATCTCAGAAGGTGGATGTGGATTTATATTTGTTCTCCTGTAGCTGCTCATGAGTGGGTATACTGACCATCTCTCTGAGGATCTCCCAATTCCCCTCCTGGGGCTGTTTCCTTTTCCAGTCCTCCTTATATCAGCTCAAAGGGTGTTGTTCAATTGAGAAAGGAAGACAAACAGACCATAGTGTCTTATCCTTGTGCAAAAAGGGGGTTTATTGCTGCCAGTTGCACAGTAGTATACAATTGTAGTCCAGCATAAATGTGCTCTGCCTCTGTTCCTGCAGTGCTGTCTACCTGTGTCTGTATTCAGATCACCGAGCCTCTCCAGTGCAATGTCGTGACGTCACGACATTGCACTGGAGAGGCTCGGTGATCTGAATACAGACACAGGTAGACAGCACTGCAGGAACAGAGGCAGAGCACATTTATGCTGGACTACAATTGTATACTACTGTGCAACTGGCAGCAATAAACCCCCTTTTTGCACAAGGATAAGACACTATGGTCTGTTTGTCTTCCTTTCTCAATTGAACAACACCCTTTGAGCTGATATAAGGAGGACTGGAAAAGGAAACAGCCCCAGGAGGGGAATTGGGAGATCCTCAGAGAGATGGTCAGTATACCCACTCATGAGCAGCTACAGGAGAACAAATATAAATCCACATCCACCTTCTGAGATAATTCAAGAGCATCATTCCATCCCATCTATCCTGGAAGGATAAAAAGTGTATTTGCCTGGATTTATTCAGGCAAATATAGAGGTGAGCACATAGGGAGACCATTAAGCACTCGGCGAGAGGGAACCAAGAATCCACCTGCACATTTATTTTGAAAGACTTTTTTTTTTTTTTTTTTTTTTTTTTTATTGAATATATCATAAGCACGTGCACATAATATATATGTGTTTGCACAATATAAATATAAGGATCACAGTAGAATAGAGGAGTATTTCTGATTTGTATATCACTGTACTTTAATAGGCACTATCACCTTAGGATTATCAGTTATTAATGTCACTTGCATGAAGATTAATATTCACAATGATGTTTTGAGTCACTAGTAATAATTGTTTGATACATGCAGTATCTTGAAAGCTATTCATTAGCACTTTGAAAGTATAAGATATACATATTGGTACATGGGAGCGCGGGCACTATCTATTTTGAAAATGCACATCCATGCTCTGTGGGAGACCAGATATAGTGAATGAGGGTCCTGGGTTTAGTAACACTTTAAGTTGTGGGATGAACTTGGCGTACTTCACCACAACTAGTAAATTCTAAAACATGGAAAAAGCCTAGATGGAGCCTAGATACATTATTATTATTACACAGTATTTATAACGCGCCAATAGTTCGTTCAGCGCTGTACATTACAAAGGGGGACAGAACATGTGACAGAACAACAATACAATGCAAAACATGAGGGGATCGAGGGCCCTGCTCTTTCGAGCTTACAATCTAGGAGACATGAGAACTTTTTCTATAAAAAAAATAAACCTAAAGGTCTAAAAATGATTTTATGTGCAGTTCATGATGTGAAAACAACAAATAAAATTACAGACCCATCTCACCAAGCCCACACCCTGTTAGGATAGATGCCATGTGCAGCCGGCTGTTTTATAGTTTATTGACCTGGCTGATAATTTTCTGTTCTGTCATATACAAATTGTTGGTACTTTGTGCTTTTATTTATTTTTATATATTTTAATCCAAAGCAGAATATGTTGACTGTGAAATGTGTCCCTTTTCCTTGTAAGTGCACTGGTAAACTCAAGAAAACTTTGGATTTACGGACATCTCTGCATGACCGCACTGTATAGTTATAATATATTATGTTGTGACTTCAGGAAAATATGTAAGATGGAAACTAAGAACTTGTGTTATCCAGCTAAAACGAACAGAGCATGCAAAGACAAAATTATAATTCTGCCAGGAAAATGTCTTTTTAGAACATGAAACTGGATTTTTTTTATACAAACAGCATGATAGAACAAAAACAAAAACAAGCCATTGAGATATATTTAATGCAAGCTGGACCCAGAAATGACGAGTTCACTTGGCTATATCAGAGCAGTAGCTGTATGCAAGGTGCTACTAGACAAAAAGTACAGACATTATTTCGGTCACTTATTCAACTTTAGTGGCACCACATTCTGTGCAGCAAAATATTGCAAACAGTGCAACTAAATATTTGTCAAATGCAACGTTGACAAAATATGAATTTGTATTGTTAATTATGTACGAATCTAACAATGAAAAAGGCGTACCATTGAACCCAGCCACCTTATTGCCTGTATTGGAGGAGGCTGGAGACAAAGAAAAACCACGTGTTACACTGATGTTGTAGAAATCAGCAGCTGTGAGCCCAGTGCTGGACACACTCCTTGAAGACCCAGATATTTGATTTTTTTGCAGATTTGATCTTGGTTTTATACCGAGGATGGCATGATCCATACTAATCATGCAGTTATGACCCAGAAGGAAGCTCTTTATTTAGAGTCATTGGGTCCTTCCCCAGCTCAAGAAGCAGAGCTCCATGCTTTGATAGCTCACAAGCTTTGCTAGAGTATACAGTACATTTATATACCGTAGGTAGTGGAGAATTAGAAAGCTTTTGGGGTGGTGCATGATTTTAGTTTCATTTGAAGGGCTAGAATTTTTTTTTTTTTTTTTTTTTTTTTTACTTCAGCAAGTAAACCAATCAAGCATGCTAAGTTGATTGGCTGCCTTCAGCCTTCCGCCTTCCAGCTTCTTGCAGAGGTAGCCATACTAAAATTAAAACTCACATATTGGAAGCAGACCAGGCGACTAAGAATGCTGCATGCCCTGGATACTTGCTGGGTCTGTACAACTCACAGACTCCAGTATACTCCTGGCCCAGTAGAGCTGGGATTAATAAAACTGAGAACACCAGAACAAGAACAAGTGGTCCACAGTGGAGGGCAACGTCTCATGAAACAGGACTTTGGAAAAAGGTTATCTTTTATGTCTGCCAGCCATGCATTTCCCTTCAGCTTGACATGTCATCAAACGCAGTTATGGCTGACTTCGTAAATAAGCCTGGGAAAGCCCCAGGGTTCACCACAGTTGTTTTAGAATATACGCTTCTTGTTTTGCCTGTTACCAAAGATGTTGCCAAAAACTGAACATCCCTTCCAGAGATTACAAAAGGATATATCCAGTGCCAAAGTCAGGGTCTTACGAGTATGCACTTGTCTGTATGGACATGTTTTCTGAATGGCCAGAAGTTTGGCCAGTGGCAAATGCTACAACAAAGGATACAGTAAACAGTGTGATCAAAAATAGTTTGTAAGTAAAAGTCCTAAAATCTGCCCTAAAAGCTAGAGAGAATAACAGATACTAATTTTATAGGAGAGTTCTTACAAGACGTTTTTTATTTATTTTACACCCCCTACCATCCACAATGTAGTGGAAAAAAGAGTAACTAAGGGGATGTCAGAAAACGAGAAAAATTATGGCCTGAATGTCTTCAATTTTGAAACCTTTAAGGGGATATATGAACTCTCTCCCTATGAGATTTACTTTGGGAGGGTTTTGCTGACTTGCTTATATCTTTCTCAGCAGCTGAAGTCCTCCACTCGGATCTCAGAGAATGTTGGTGATCTCTTAAGGTTTTTGACAAACGCCTTTATGTATTTTCTTCCCAAATTCCAGATCCTAATAGCGTGGAAGGATCTCGTAAACTAAAGCCAGGTGACTTGTGGATTGTCAAGGCACATTTATACTGTATATATAGGAAATGTTTGGAGACACAATACAGCATTTATTTCATGTACAGGTGTACAAAACATGAAGAAAAAGTCACCTGAATCCACACCAGGATGAAAAAAAAATAAAAAAAAATGACTAAATGAAAGTATCTCTGTATTTAATTTGGTTTCCTCTTGGAATCACAATCTGGGGTATTATTTATTCAAATGCTTTAATAATAAGGGATATATATATTTAATGTGATCTGAAAAGTAGTTCAGCCATGTTGAAGTCATATTGTATTTTCTGTCTTTCATTTTATGTAGAATTGTCTGTGTTTCACTATGCTGAAAGTCAGCATGTCCACAATTAAGCTATAAGGCCATTCTGGTCACAGAATCTGAGTGTACAGCCAATTACTCTACAAATATTTATCAATCATTTGTTTTTATGTAAGTTTGTCACAATAAAAAGGTCGTTTTGTAAAGATTTAGCTGCTATTAGATTCTCCACAGTAGAGTTTGCCTCCTAGGCCAGGACTAGTTTCACCTAAATGTAAAGAGATTCCAGGTTGAAAGGTGATAGTAGGTGTGGTCTGTGATCAAAATGTAAAATATTGATCAAAAGAGGGGCGATTGTAAAGGAAATTGTATATTCTCTATAAAATTGTATTCTATTTCGTATGCTTTGCCTATGTATTGCACACTGCACTCACACACAGCACTAATAATGTTTTCATTACATGTTTGCATTCCTTCAAGTCCTGATTAGAAATTAGCCTTCCTATGTAAAGCCCCATGATACCATAAATTATTACAATTGTAATAATGTGATACCTATGTAATCATTTGTATAAAAACTTCAAAATGCGCTGAACAGAACAGTTATTAGGAAAGATACTTTGTGTATCTTTTTGTTCCCTGCTGCAGTAGGTATTAATTTGGAACCACTAATCAATATGAGAATAGGAGTGGCCCATCTATAAAATTTTCAGTATAAACGTCCAGAACAATCTCAAAAAGCATTGGTGAGGTCAGCTCTGCAGCTTCCCGAGTGCAGGCCACCACAAAAGCCAATAGATGTCCTTCCACCCACATGAGTGAGGGGCGCCCCTTTGGTGCGTGGAGGACTTGCCTTTTGATCTGAAGGACTTGGGGGTCCACTTCTTCTAAAACTGTGACAAAAAGGCATCACCGTTTTCTGACCAGTCACTTTTAGCTTCCTCTTTAGAGTGTCCTTTTACCCTCACTCACCACAAGGGCAGCCTCTGTTTCTTGCAGAGAAGTTCCGCCGACCAACACATGAGCCATAGGATCCTTCTCAAATGGAAAGATGTGGTGCTCACTTCTGAAAGCTTCCATGTGTAATCTTCCAAAGTATTCACAAGAAACTTATGGCTCACTAAAAATCCTTCAGGAACTGCCAGATGGCAGGATCCCCTGAATCAGATTCTCTGGAATGGAGCATATGCTTTGTCTAAACTTAGTGGTTGTAAACCCTTACATATACCCAGTTGAGTGACTGGCCTCAGGTGATACACAGAGGTGAAACAAATGCTCCTATAAATATGTTTTACTTGTTTATCTGCAGCCTTCTCTTTTCTACCTCTCCTCAAAAGGGTTGAATTTAGATAAAATACGTCTTAGTCAGTATCACAGAGGAGGGGGCAGGGAGCTGCAGTTAGAGTTCTTGTACACTGTGTGAGAGCTGATTGGAGGAAAGGGACACCCCCCCTCTACACACTGAACAGGAACAAAGGAACATGCAGTTATGTTGAGAGGAGATTGTCCTGAGCTCCTTCCCCATCACAATTTTATCTTGGGTGTTGGGAAAACTTCTCAGAAGTGACACATGCTGATAACAGATGAACAAGGCATCAGGGAGAAATGACACTTAGAGCTTTGGAGTAAGTAAATAAGGCAGAATTATGCGCTTTCTTCAGATTTCATGACTGCGGTTTACAACCACTTGACAAACCCCCACTGCAGCCAGTGCTGTCTGCAGAACTGCTCCTTACCAGGAAGGAGGACATTTTAAATAAGGCCTTTAACCTCATATCAGTGGCATCTTCAAAGAATGGAACCTGATGCAGCAAGACCATCATGATCTTGCTTAGCCAGATCAACAGCACGAAAACCCCATTTCTTGTAGAACCCCACTTACTTTGTGTAAGATTTGTGTCCCAGTCGATCCGAGTCAGTAAGAACCTCTGAAAGCCGATCTCTGAAGTGGCTGTAGAAAATTCCTCCTTTGACACAACAGAAGCATAGAATTGTGCCCAAGAGACAGAGGAACAACCAGATAAGGGCCAAGATTCAGAGCTTGCCGTCATGTAGCCACTGCAGGAAGGACTGTGTAGGGAGATCTCCCTACCTGATAGAAGGATTTGGAATCCCACCTCATTGTTTTTTATGCGCAGCCCCCTCTTGGCCTCCACATCCCCACCAGGGTGTTTGGAATAGACCATGATCTAGGGGAACTAATGCCCATGAAAAAAATCTTCATATAGACATTTGGAGGCATATCCATCACCCAAGGACACTACTTAAAAACAGCTGGAAAGGGTTATGCAGGGGTTCCTGTCCTTCTTGGCCAGTTTCCATTTACCTGTTGGTGGCAACATATCTCAAGTAGTCATGAATATGAAGTCCTCTATGTCCTACGATGTACAATTAAAAAAGTTTCCATAGTATATTAAAACTTGTAAAAGATGTATTTGCAACTTGCATGCATTTCAAATATCTAACAAAACAGGATTCAGATGTTCTAGGGTTTCTGAATTCCTTATTTAAACAACATCTTTCCATCTTTCGTAGACTGTTCCTACCACCCGCAAGCTTAGATTTAAAAATTAATAAACATGTACCCTGCCCATAAGGCAGGACATTCAAAAACTGAATGGGAAGAGCCAGGGGCATTTTATAATATCAGCGGGCCTGTCTGAAAGAAGTTGAGCCCCACTGCTTGATTAAAAAAAAAAAAAAAAATCAGGTGTGCTTAGTTTAGTATGGGCATAGTTTTCTTTTTGGAAGGGGTTTAACTAGGATTGTAAAAGGCCTGGGATACCTTTGGTTGCTCCAAAGGAAGAAGTGCGAACATTGTGTGCCTAAATTGCGTTAACAGTGGGAGGGACTTAAAAGGGTGCAGGAAAAACGAAAGCCTTCTTGTATCTATAAAGTGCGCTTAGATTGCTGTGTCTCAAGTAAGAGGTTCCCGGACATGTAAAAACCCCAGCAAATGATCAAAAAAAAACAAAAAAAAAAAAAACTTTTCCATTACATATGATTTTGTGTACACTGAAAATAGACAGACAGCTAACACTTTATCTGAGAATACCTTAAAGTACTTCATTAAAATAGTCAGGGACTTCTTAGCAACTGTTGACACAAAACACTTAGTTTTACAAAGTTTGTAATGTACAATATTTAGTGTAGGAGTGTGTAATGTAAAATACAGTGTACTCTATTAGGCAAGTGAGTTTTTTAACCAAATCATTTTTATGCATATTGTCCAACTCCAAGCTGTATAAGCTTGAATGCTTACTGGATTTAAGCATATCAGGTGCCCTGTATTTGTATAATGAGGGAGGGGGTGTGGCCTAAGGAGATCAACAAGGTGTGCATACATTATCAGGCAGCTTTTTTTTTTTCTCAGGCAATATGGCCCAAAAAAAGAGGTTTAACCCCCAGTTACATCATGCTCGACTTTTGAAATCGTGCGACTTACAGTGCAGTCGCATGATTTCAAAGTCGGGTGAGATGCTGCTTTCAGGTGCGATTTGCAAGAAATCTGGCACAGATGTCTATGCAAATCGCACCAAGTAATGCATGTACTACTTTAGAAATCAGTGCGACTCAGACCAAGTCAGAACCAATATGACCGCTCTAATTGCGGACAGTAGGGTGCAACTTGGCATACAATTTGCGAGTTGCACGGCATGCAAATCGCATGCCAAGTCATACTCAGTGCGACCGGGTGTTTAACTGACTCTGAAAAGTAAAAAAATTGTAAAAAAAAGTATTTCAGAGAGATGCAGCACGTTGAGAAAAAAAAAAAAAGACGCAAATTAAAATTACACAAATACACATCAACCGAAATGCTTAATTCCAATAAGCATTCAAGTTTATACTGCTTGGAGTAATTATTATTCATTTGTATAATTTTAAAATCTTTTTCTGTAGTAGTCTGTCCCACGAGGCTTTGTAACCTTGTCTTGTGACTTGTTTACATGATCTGCGATTGATCCATAGCAAAATGACGTCCGCACATGTGTTTTCGCTATTCAACAAGATGGCACGCATAATGCGCATGCTCCGTCTACTGTATATAAGGAAACGGCGAACGTCATGGCGGTATTGGCAACCCCTTCTGAGGAAGTGCGTGGCACGAAAAGTGTCAAGGAGGAGCCAATACGCTGTGACATCACACCGCCGGAGCCTCGTGAATGTCCGGCGCCCATTTTGCTTCGTGGACAGTTAGTCCCTCTCTGCAGCATACTATGCTTTTACTTGTATATTGATACTTTACCACAGGGATTCTCAATAAACCTTTATTTACAATACTGCACTATGGGCAATTCTCTGTCTGGCTCCACGTTGAGCTTAAATTAGTTTGCAGAGTCTACCCTGGAAGTTAGCTGCAGTATCCCACAGGATCCAGAAGAGGGAGTTTCCACTTCAGGCTGTAAACACCCATTCATCCTATAAAAGGGACCTCTGGCAGGAAAATATGCTTATACATCCGCAGGGCTGCACACCACCCAGAGGAAGGAGAATCCGTACCCGGCTTACCTCATCCATTCCACCCTTAAAGGGGACCTCTGGCTATACATACTACATGTGTATTTAAAATATGCATCTGGTGAGTGCTTATTTTTACCAAACCTTACAGCACATCACTGAACACTGGAGTAATCAGCAGTTTTGATTGGCACCTTAGCACAAACTGTCACTTTTATGAATATTTAATATTTCAATATTTGTTCTTATTTTATGATTCACATATCAGCATTTTTAATATCGGACAGTATTGGGTTTATTATTGATTTTAGCGCTGCACCTTAAAGTTCCTATATATGTTGAGGTTTTATCTGGTTACCTTAGTGTGCAATAGCGGCTACTTTTAAGCGCTCGCTGATCTTACACACACACACTAAAATAGTGCAGGAGTCTGTTAAGTTGGCTGGAAACTTTCATTCTTGTTCAGCCAGTAGGCTGAAACCAATTCTTCCATTCACACAAATAAGGTGGATTTGGGTGTGCTGCAACTTAGATTTTTTTTTTTTTTTTTTTTAACTAAATCACATAGGGGATGAAAAGTTTGCTTTTTTTTCCAGAGAGTAGGTGCAGGTACTCACCCCCCATATTGCAGTACAAGGTTCAAGAGTGTGCATTGCTCAGCTGCAGGGCTCAAGAATACGTATGGCACAGAGCACAGGGGTGCTTACGGTACAGAGCACAGGGGTGCATATCCTACAGGGTGCAGGGCTTAGGTTTCATTCTCCTACAGGGCTCAGGAGTGCACAGTGCATGGAGTAAAGGGTTCAAGAGTGCATTTTACACAGTGCCCATTCCAAGAGCAGACTCTCCCTCTAAAGTACCCCACTACAGACCTTTTCTCCACTCCTGGCTCTTTCCAGTCTGAAGAGATGGTTTAGCACATTTAAACAGGCTGTGACTTACTTCTTAGATCCCACTGTCTGGTACAAACCCTTCTGTTCCCACTGTCTTTTTTTTACTGTAAAAGGGTGAGTGGGAGGTGGACAGATCCAATCATCTGTGATAATAGCAAGTCCATCAACTCTCCCCCTCCCACCTCCATTCCCAGGCTACGGTTTGTGCAAAGTTCCAGGCAGTTCACAGTGCATACAGACATTCTCTCCATACACTACATCCAGCAGCTGCTAACTGATAAGTAACTGGCTCATCACCCACCACCCTCTGCACATACCTGCACTGGCTGGGCACAGCAAAGGAAGTTTTCCTTCACAGACTTTGTTTGCAGCTGACAGATGCAGGTCAGGAGGCATCAAACACAACTAAAACCTATGAAAGAAGACTTCCTTTTCCGTGTTCAGTCATCGCACATACTGTATATGTGCAGGGAGTACTCAGGATCAGTAAACACTACAGGCTAGCAGCGAGCAAACAGCACAGTGACAGCTCCAGTTACCAAGCCCCCCCCTCCCCAAGAGTCTGTCAGCGGCTGGAACTATAATCTGAATATAGGAATGCGGTCAGGTGCTTCCACCTGTGAGAGAAAAATAAAAAAGTCCATGGATGCTCAAACCTTTTGGGCCCCTCTGATGGAAATCATGGGGCCCAAGGAAATGTTGTGAAGCAATTTTTACCTATTCCATGTGTGCCAGGGCACAGTGGGCCCCTCTACCCTGGGGTCCCATGTGCACCGCACACATGTACAATATGCCACTGGGAAGAGCCCTCCAGGTTAGAGGGAAAGGAAGGTGCTGGAGATGTGGAGGTGCTCTGCATCTTACTGGATGGCCATGTACACTACAATTCCTGATGTGCAACAATAATGTATAAGGATGATGTACTAGCTTTCTGGGCAAAAGAAAAGTGAGTTTTGAGCTATGCTTACGTTCTGACACGGAGTAGTGCAGATTCTGAGGCGGTAAGGGAGGAGGCAGTCTTCCTCCTACTGGTGCAAGACTGGGCACAGTACTTGTCCCGGGTTGCTCACGATTGTTTAGCAAGCCTGAATGCGGTAATGGAAGCCCTGCATATTTAAAAGCAAAATATACATTTATATTGCCATATAATACTTCTCCAGTAGAGAATTTCATTATAAAATTATACACTTTTGATTGTGACCTACACAACAAAGTAACCACACTAATTTCACTTCAGCTTTCCCAGTCTTAAGATATTACCTTTGTTATGGTCTTACTTCAGCATAATTTTTGTAGCATTTTAATAAAACATTAAGCATATTCCTACCCTGTAGAAACGGTAAACTTAATAGTATATATAGCCAAATCATTTTTGGTACTCCCCTGTAAAACATTTTCTTGGAGTCCATTGAGGAACACAGGTCCTAATCTATCTCTGTCTATAATCATACTCTTGTACTGCTTGCTACAAACTGAGGCATGTTGGGTAGAGAAGGAATTATCTTGGGCTGGCCTATAGATTTTTTTTTTCTGCCCTTGTCCAATCCCCCTTTAGACTTCAGTACGGCGAGAACAAAAAATCCTATTTTCTTTTATTTTAAACATAAATTTTGTTTTGGATAGAATAGGGAACAAAAAGAAGAAACTTGACTTACTTGTGAAGTTCATGCCTTTGAGGGTAATTATGAAGTGAGGCAGGGTTATGATTGGGAAGGGGGGGGGGGTGCTTATCCTTAAAAACTTTGTCAGTGTCCAGTCACCGGAAGGTACAAGCCTAAAACATAGGGTCTTATAAATACTATGCCTATGTCCTGTGCTGTACTCCAAGAAGTGTTCTGTTAAAAGATTTATCTTCTGCCCTTGATCTAATGACAAACAACAATTTCAATTTCTCCTCGCTTTGTTCCTGTGACAGTGGTAAAGCTACCCAGCAGTAACACAGCCAGCAATAAAAAAAACAAACAAAAAAAAAAACAAAAACAAAAACTTTCTATCTCAATAGCACAGCACAAAATACAGGCACAGTATTCAACAGACACTGGTTAGAAGGCCCAGATATGAGATAGAGAAAAATGTATTGAGAAATGGGCATAGCTAGGAAACATGAAGAGAATGCTTCAAGGACTGGGGTAGTTATGTCTAATCACCCAGAGAAGTTTGAGAACTCACGGGGAGAACAGCCAAAGTTGACCAGGCAGGTCTGGAGGTCCTTCTGGGGAAGGAGAGAGATGACAGAGGGGTACCAGATACAGCTGATGACTCAAGAGAAAAGAATTACTCAAAGGGGGAGAATGGAATTCTGGGTATGACACAGTTCTACAGGTGGAAATGACACAAAAACTGGAACCAGAGCCTTTGACACTAGGGTGCAGGTGAGGAACTGTTAACCTTTGCTGGGTGCTGGGACAGAGAGGAAAAGAGGATGGGTTGCTGAAGAGAGTTTTGGTGGTAGGGGGTTATCCCAAGCACCTAAAGGGGTACTCTTTGCATCAAAGGACCGGCACTGGTAAGCTATGCCCCGGCTCATTCCTCACAAGAGTTTGACTGACAACAGCAGGAGACTTTGGCTTACACTGCCCTCAGTGTCTCCTCTGAGACCAGGAAATGAGAGAAGACATGCTGCAGCCTAGATAGCACGGGAGCGGCGACAGGGGGTGGGAAGGAGGAGTAGTGGGCATTTTTTTTTTTTTTTTACGTACTGCAGAGATTGCAAAGTTATAAAAAAAAATTAGACTTTAGAACCACTTTAAAAGGTAAGCATCCCCTCTACTGCTCTGCTCGTCACTGCTAACTAAGGCAAGGCCGCCTCTATGGCCACAGAGAGATCAGAAAAGGACTCTGCAGGGGAAGGTGCAGGCATTTGGTTAGAGGCTATGCAGTCAGCATCAAAAAGGAATCGGGTGCATTTGGCCACCAAGTCTTGTGCAATTGGTGTACAGGTCAAAATGCACATATTTGCTAGTACACCATGGATCATCAAACAGCGTCCAAAATCGTTACGGAACAATCACAGAGGACATAATGCAACGTTTTTGGAGCCACACAGGACCCCTTCGTCAGGCATGTGATAAATGTGTACATTAATAGTATTTTAAAGTGCTCTCCACCAATCAGAGTACATAAAAAAAAAAAATGTGTGGGGCTCCGAAACATTGCTCTATGTCCACTGTGATCATTCTGCAATAAAGATTTTGGATGCTATTCCACGATGTGCATTTGACCTGTGATGTCTCCAGTTCCAGCTGGTTGTTGCTTCAGCACCCGCTACTCTTAAGCCTTATTCAGGAAAGTGTGCAATGGGAATATTATCATTACCTAGTGTACAGGCCCCTGACAAGGGACTCAGCCTCACAATCCAGAGCTAAAGGGGACTCTGATGATGTAGACCCTATAAGCATAGTGTCACAAAAGATTCCTTGATTGCAGACATCAGTATCCTCAGAAGGTATGGAATACATGTCCCTGGAACAGCTAGGAGAATCAGCTGGGGTCACCCATTTCAATAGCACCATCCTCTATTTATCTAATGCTGCGACTGTCTGGTGATAATTCAACCCAGTTTAGCGTATAGTGCAAGGCTTCAACTACTCAAATACCCAGGCACCTGAGGGTCAAGAGGCTGAAAGTGACAACGGTCACTGTAGATGGGCTGTAGATACAGACAGGAGAATGGTGTTTTCATGTACCTGACCTGAAAAGCTGGAGAAACAGAGGGGCAATGTGTCCTTTATGGTAGTAAAGAAAGTGAACCTACATCCCCCCCCCCCCCCCCAACAGATGTCAGCATGTAACTCCCTCCACAGTAAAAGCGGTGGCAGTGGAAATTAATAAATATTCATCAGTGCAAATAACAAGGTAGCATCTGATGCTGAGCCTGACCGACCTACTCGCAAAGCAAGTCTTCAGAGACAGAGCTAGCATTGCAAGAATGCCAACAACTCCAGACCTAGAAAAAGCTCCACAGCAGAAACATGGGTCTGGAAAGCACCTAACACTGAAGGCAGTGCCAAAAGGTCACTTCCTGGCTGACCCTTGAATGCCCAATTCCAGTGGAGTCTAGGTATGGCCACTCCTCTAGTGTTAAATACTCCTGTAGGTGGAAGTATAGCCTAACAGTATGTGACCTATTGCGTCTTCCTGTGCCCCTCAATGGACAAAAAAAAAAAAAAAAAATGGCTATACAATTACAATGCCAAAAGCTAAAATGGAAATGTAATTTTTCTCTAATGCTTCCTTGGCCATCTTTTTAGTCCAACTGTACTGGCAAGACAATGGAATCCTGGCAGTACTTTATTTCAGAGATCCCCTATCTACAGCTTACTAATAAGACTGAGCTTCATGCAAAGCTTAAAGTTTTCATTTTGTTTTCCCAATAATCTTAACAGCATTAGAAAACTAGAGAAATTTTTTTTTTTTCTAAATTAAGAATTGCTATCTACTATGTTCACCTTAAATCTGATAATACACATCACAATACGATTATACAAGTCAAATTATAAAAAAGGTTAGAAAAACAGACATCTGATTTATATAGAAGTCTACTTACTTGGAGCAGGATGGACAGTGGGAGGGGGTTGGGTAAGTGGTCGAGGAACTGGCATTCTCATATTATGAGCTGGTGCAGGGATAGGAGGCAACAAAATACCAGGAGGTGGCAGTCCGGGGGGTGGTGGGAAAGGAATCATACTGGGTAAGGAAACTTCATCAACCACCAAGGGATCATTTCCATGATCAAACTGGCAAAGGTCACCAAGGACACAAAACCCTCGTTCTGTGAGAAAACAAGAAAAACAAAAAAATTAAGGGCTTGTTCTAAAACAAAATATCAGCTTATCCTGAAAAATTACATACATTTGTCACATGCAGGGTTTTTTTTTCCCCAACCCAAGGAGAATTTATTGAGGAGTATCCTATTATAGTCATATACCATGATTTTCAACAAACCCAGAGACATTTAAACACAGCCAATGGCAAACAGTAAGGGCACATGCCTTATCTAAGAGCTCATCATTGGCCAGCAACACACACAAAGTGCTGTGCTGGCTATGCACAGAGCAGCAGCCGCTGGTAACCACCAGTCATTCTAGTGAAAGGGGCCAGCAGCTACACCTAGCCACAGCAGGAATCAGAAGATTCATGTCACTGCAATTCACACCAGCCTACATCGCTAGTGTTAATGTAGCTTAAGGTGGCAGCTTCCTTGGCTGTAAAGGATACAACAGTTTAGTTCCACTTTAATATTAGATGTTATTTAAAAAAAAAAAAAAAGATAAAAATATTTGGCTTTTGCATATATCAGAGCTATTACTTTTTATCCATGCAATTTAATTATCACAATACAATTGTTAAGACTCCTGGATTGAGGAAAATATGTATGCGGGTTGACACGTCTCATTATTAGCTCTGAAAATGAATGTTGCCTGGCTGTCATTACACTTCCAATGGCATACATGCTTGCCTACTACTGGCCTGTGACAGGAGTGCATATTAGTTTTGGCTCTAAACTCAGGAGCAAAGTACTAACCACTTCAAGCAGAGGTTGTAAGGTACGTCCTAAGGGCATTAACTGGTTCAAGAATTTGTAAACCCAACATTTCATATTACTGACATGTGCCTGTAGTACCATATACTTGTGTAAAAAGTATCATGTTCTCTTTGTATAGCTTTGTTTGTGTGAAATCCCTGGTGTTCCTGTCAGTCCCTCTGCTTTTCCTTTAATAACGGACCACACTAAGCAGAAGAACATACCATGATCAGTTATCTAGCTGTGATGGGAACGCAACTTGCTCTCCTCCAATAATGAGACTTGTCTTGACACACACCCCCCTGCACAGCCTTTCACTGAGAAGATCAGTGTTGTGCTGTTTCTCCTCTCCCCACTCTTATGCAGATGAGAACAGAGGGAATTTGATCACTTATGGAAAAAGAAAAAAGGGGGAGAAATCTATACACAAATGTTTTGATTTTCATTTTAAACTGAATGGGTTGTTTTACAAGGTGAAGATTTACAATTAATTACTGTAATCCTGGTATCAAACCTTGCAGCCAGCGATGTACCTTTCCTGTAGAAGTGATCTGGGTGGCGCTACAGCAGCCCAATCACTTCTACAGGGCATGAAAGGAATACCCCCAGGAACTATGGCATCATTGGAGAGGCCAGGGACTGCTGCAACCTGTTGGTCCAATTGACCACAGAGGAAAGGCAGGTACAGGCATACCTGCCCCTCCCTTGTGACGAATGAATCCAGAAGCAATGAGGATTTTGTCACTTTCAGTTTCGGTTTGTTGCTTACAAGCTATTACTGGCTTGTAAAAGCTTCCGATCAAACCAATCTTGGTTTGATCAAATGGCGAGATCTGTTCAATAGAAAATATGTAACATAGGAAATTGCGACAAACATTTTATTCTCCAGGGTTTCAGATTAAGAAAACAAAACAAATAGTAATAAGAGGATTTCTGGGGGTTCTATGTAATTTTCTAGAACAAAATGTAGATTTATGTGAGAAATGTCAGAATTGGCCAGGGTGGCAAGTGGTTAAAGATACTGTATCACTGACAGCAAGTAAACTAGCAAATGGAAGAAGGCGGTCCTCATGGAAGACTAGGTTTTTATCCAAGAATAGGTTTCTGTAGGAAACTAATTTGTTTAGTTTTACATGATCTTTTTAAAATATAAAAAACATTTGTACATATTCAACTCTTTCATATCTGTACCCCTCTCACTATGTGCACAACATTGTCATATAGAATGGCACAGAACTGCATGGTGGGATTAGTGTACTTGTCTTGGTGGAAGGCAGATATGGCACAGTTCAGACTTTGCTCTAAATTCTGGTTTCAATTGACCTTGTGCACGTTTAGCTGCTATAGATATGGTTGCCATTAGCAAAATCCAACAGTCATATTAATTAGCAAGTTACTCACCATCATAATCACGGCAGCGTCGCTTAGGAGGTGGGTTTCTGTTGTACGAATTGGTAGGATTGTGGTTGCTATAGTAATTAGACCAGATCTCTGTTGTGCTCTCAGGGTGGTGAGCAGGTGCAATGACAGTCACAGTGCTGGGGATAGCCTGCCCACCAGAGGAATACTGCTGCTGCTCAGTTGAGATGATGGCAGTCTGTGAGGCTGGGTTGTATGCAGATTCTAACTCTGTTCTTTCAGACTCAAACTTCGTCCTTTCCCGATGATCTAGAAAAAAATAAAAAAAGACAAAATCCACAATTGTTAAGCTGCCTTTGTCCTTAATGCTACACTACTGAGACACCTGACGTGTTTTCAGCAACAAATAGAGGCATGGAGGTCAACAGGAAGAGCAGTGAAAAAAAAGTTAACTTACTGCCAGAAAAGTAAATTTAAATGCAATCAAATAACTGATCAAACCCTAAATGAATCTTAGGTAGGAAAATTGAAGTACATCAGTACAATTCTCATGCAATATCAAGAAAAGGACAAAAACTTCAGCTCTATTTTAGAGTGCATACTGTATGCCATATAAAACAAACTGGGAATGTGGACTCAATACCACCGCAAACCAAAAAGCAAACCTATGCTTGGTTATCCAATATGGTGCAGCTGTGCATGGTAGCCAATCAGCTTTTAACTTCAGCTTGTTCAATTAAGCATTGACAAAGAGAAAATAAAAAAGGAAATCGATTGGTTTCTGTGAGAGCTGCACCAGATTTTGCATGCAGATTTAACAAATCAACCCATGTCTCCTGAAAGCCTTGAAACCTTGGTTGATCAATTATTCACATAACAAAATCGAGGAAGCCATTACAGAGAAAAAGGGAGAGAGAGAGATGCACATATTAACAATGGTCTCTACCCTTGATAATGGATTTTACTGGTGCCACACCCCTTAATGAAAAGACACTGAAAAATAGAGCCCTAATAAAAAAAAAAAAAAAAAAAAAAAAAAAAAACTACTGAGGCTTTATTATGCACCATACCAACAAAACTCCATACACAAAATTATAAAAACACGTATAGCTTTATTGGACATCACTAAAAAAGCAATTGAAATATACTGCTCAAAAAACAATTAAAAGGAACACTTTATAATCAGAGTATAGCATCCAGTCAATTAAACTCCTGGGATATTGGTCAGTTAAGTAGCAGAGGGGGTTGTTAATCAGTTTCAGCTGCTTTGGTGTTAATTAATAACAGGTGCACTAGATGGGCAATAATGAAACAACCCCCAAAACCAGAATGATTTTACAGGTGGAGGCCACTGACATTTTTTTCCCTACTCATCTTTTCTGTTTTTCACTACTTTTGCATTTGGCTAGGGTCAGTGTCACTACTGGTAGCATGAGGCGATACCTGGACCCTACAGAGGTAGCACAGGCAGTCCAACTCCTCCAGGATTGCACATCAATATGTGCCATTGCCAGAAGGTTTGCAGTGTCTCCAAGCACAGTCTCAAGAGCATGGAGGAGATTCCAGGAGACAGGAAGTTAAACTAGGAGAGCTGGACAGGGCAATAGAAGATCTTTAACCCATCAGCACGACTGGTATCTGCTCCTTTGTGCAAGGAGCAAAAGGATGAGCACTGCCAGAGACCTAAAAAATTACCTCCAGCAGGCCACTGGTGTGAATGCCTGACCAAACAATCAGGAACAGACATCAGTAGGGTGGTGTGTGGGCCCGACATCCTCTAGTGGGCCCTATGCTTGCTGCCTGGCGCCATAGAGATCAATCGGCATTTGCCATTGAACACCAAAATTGGCAAGTCCGCCACTGGCGCCCTGTGCTTTTCACAGATGAGAGCAAGTTCACCCTGAGCACATGTGACAGACGTGAAAGCGTCTGGAGAAGCCATTGAGAACTTTATGCTGCCTGTAACACCAGTCAGCATGACCATTTTGGTGGTGGATCAGTGATGGTCTGGGGTGGCTTATCCATGGAGAGACGCACAGACCTCTACAGGCTATACAATGGCACCTGACTGCCATTAGGTATCGGGATGAAATACTTGGACCCATTGTCATACCCTACACTCTTGCAGTGGGTCCTGGGTTCCTCCTGGTGCGCGACAATGCCCAGCCTCACGTGGCAAGAGTATGCAAGAAGTTCCTGGAGGATGAAGGAATTGATAGCATTGGATGGTCCTCACGCTAGCCTGACCTAAATCCAATAGAACAGGTGTTCTATATATCTGGGATATCAAGTTTCGGCCCATCTGACGCCGCCAGGTTTCACCTCAGACTGTTCAGGAAGCTCAGTGATGCCCTGGTCCAGATCTGTGAGGAAATACCCCAGGACACCATCCTTTGTCTCATTAGGTGCTTGCGCTGTTGTTGTGAGGACGGCATACAAGCACGTGGGTGCTATACAAACTACTGAGTACCATTTTGAGTTGCTGCAATGAAATTTCAGCAAAAATGGACTAGCCTGCTGCATCATTTTTCGCTTTGATTTTCAGGATGTCTTTGAATTCTCTCCTCTGTAGGTTGATCATTTTTATCAAACGATGGGGCATCCTTACATTACTAACAAAATTACCCAGTCCATATCAGTATAGATATCCAGCATGATATTGCTCCCCCCCTGAGATCTGATGTGTTTTCAAAGTGTTCCTTT